GCCAGGGATGCAGCCAGGTCCAGAAGGGGAAATGTGTGTTCTCTGAGAGAATGAGATCAACTCCTTCAGAGGCAGGCCGTTGAGGGCCACCTGTTCAAGTCTTCTCGTTGGGAGAAGTGAGCGTGGTTTTTCTGTGGACTGACAGACTTGTCACTGATTCAGGAACCAGTTACATTCGAAGATGTCACCGTCGCCTTCACGGAGGCAGAGTGGGTGACCCTGAATGCCGAGCAGAAGAACCTGTACCAAGAGGTGATGCTGGAGATTTACAGGAGTCTGGTCTCGATGGGTGAGGACATGCCCCTCTTTTTCCCCTTTACAAACGATAGGCATTGACAACCCACCGTATGCCCGTGGACCCTTAAAGGCATACATACTAGCAGTTCATGGAAAGCTCGGCGATTTGAACCCTCCAGGAGAAAATGGTGGCAGTCTGCTTCCCTTTAATAAAGATCTACAGCTTGAGGATCCCTGTGGGGCATCCTACACCGTCCTTTGGGAAGACGAGGAGGCACGGTCTTTGGTTTTTGTCCGTGTCCAAGCTTCCCGAGGGATGCCAACCGCTTGCACTCAACTATTCAACTCTAGGGGTCGATGATTCAAAGTGATACAGCGACACCACAGGAGGAAGGCTTGGTAGTAGGTGGCTGTAAAAATTACAGGCCGTAAAACCCTGTGGACCAAGGGAAAATTAAATTTAACTGGACAGCTGCAGGGGGAGCCATGAGTTGGAATCAACTTGAGAGCCACGGTTTTGGTACTGTGAGCTTTGCTGTGTTTGGGTTTTACTTCAGGCCGAATAATCTTGGAGACGCCGAGAGCATTTTGGGAAGGCAATACTGCAAAACCCCTGTCTTCACTGGGCTTACCCTTGGGCCGGAAGAGACGGATGAGAAAATGTAAGCTTTACATATTAAGGTGTGGGGTACCAGCACCCACAGCCAAAGGGGTCCAAGGGGCAGTTGAGTAACTGAGGGGTACATTGAAGAGACATCAGACAAGATAAGCCATGCAAGGGCTCACCTCGGCAGCCATGACTCCAGGAGCCAGGTCTGTGCAGAGAATATATTTCCAACAGAGGCTTGTATAATTTAGAGGTGGGCAAGCCCCCCTAATTACAGGTAACCACCAATGTAATAAAGTGGGCTATGCCCTAACCTAAAACTCTCTGAGAACATTGGAGGAGTAACCTAACATCAGTGCCGGAGCAGGTAAGGGGGAATGTCTGCCTTCAGAGCCTAGAGAGCAGTAGCCACACGTCTGCTCCCATAGTTCAAGCTGCCGGCTACATAGCAATCAGCCGCATGCTTGTAAGAGGTCACTTTCAGGCAGCACTGTGATGGGAGGATATTGTGGGGATCAATATTAATGATGAGAATGTGATTGGGCCTCACCTCCAACTCCACCCCAGAAACCCAGCCTGCCAGGCTTCTTAATAGATGAGACGAAAGGATTCATCCGTAGACACTCTCTTCCCGTTCTCTGTGTCCCACATTAAGGGCCTTTGGAAAGTGTGCTGAACACTGCAACTAAAAGATCAAAATAAAACAGAAAATTCATCTCCCAACATAAGCTTCACGCAGCTCAGGGCGCTGTGTAAGCAATGATGCCAGTCATTTTATCTTTTGTCCATCCCTGAAGAACTGAAGAAGGTCCTGGGAGTTTAACTTTGTCGGTACAGTGCTATTTACATTATTAACTGAAGAAAAAATATGTTGGGTTTTTTTTCTTGAACGAGTGGGATAACAAGTTGTCAGAAGACTAACCAGAACCATCAGGTTTGTGCGTAAGGATTGCCATTAGAAACTCTTCCAAAATGACCTTTGTCTGACATTGCATATCCTGAACCCACCGCCATCCAGGTGACTATGTCTTACAGTGACCTTTGACACAGTAGAACTACCCAGGGGAGTTCTCAGGGTTGTAAATCTTTGTTTCAGCAGACTGCCAGCTCTTTCTGCCTCGGTGCAGCCGGTGGGTTCCAACCGCCGAGATTCTAGCAGCTGAGGGCTCTAGCCCCGGCCACCAGGGCTGCGTCCGGATTTCAGTAGACGGTGGAATCGATAAAAACAGGAAGTAAAATAACGATTGGTGGGAAGGACATGGTGCTGTCGGCGCGCCAGTTACAAGTGTGGTTGGTGTTTGCCGTCAAGTCCATTTTGGCGGTGGGGGGGCGGGGGGGACCACATGTACGCAGAGTAGGCCTCTGCTCCGGAGGGGTTTCAAAGCTCGCATGTATTGGAAGCAGATCACCAGCCCTGTGTTAGGAACCTCCAACACTTCAGCTAATTATCGGCTGCTTAGGCCACCTAGAGCCTCCAGGAATCAGAGGCTGACTGTCAGGAGGGAAGGCAGACAGTGCTGGCTGCCCAACTCGTGACTGCGCTAACGGAAAGCTTTCTCTCGTCAACAGAACCAAAGCCAGAAACCTGCCCCTGTTCCCCCTGCTCTCTGCCTGTTTCCTGCCAGCGGTTTCTCAGCCAGCACGTTCTGCAGACATGCCCCAGCTTGTGTGCTGGACATCGCTTGCACTTAACGGGTTCCATCGCAGGGCCTCAGAAACAGCAAGAGCAGCAGCCTTCTGGTCAGAACTGCTGGAGCGAGGACACAGACGGACAGGAGAGAGAAGACGCCTCCCTGCCCTCGTGTGTAACGGCAGTGGGCAGAGAGACTTCCAGGGAACCCTCCAGTCCAGCCCAGAGAGGGTCAGCGAGCTCTAGAGAAGGCCACGCAGGGGCAAGAAGAGAGCCCACCTCAGCCCAAAGGGTGATGTCCGTGGGAACAAACAAAGCATCAAAGGAATTCGAAAGCTCAAGGTTTGCCACAGTCAACTCTCGAGAGAATGGACCAGACTATCTCCTGAATCCCAGGGTCATCAGAAACCAGGAGCCCCAGATTTGCAGTGAGTGTGGGCAAGGTTTCAGCGACATGCCAACTCTCCTCATCCGACAGAGAGCACAGCCAGGTGAGAAACTCCCCAGGTGCTGGGCGTGTGGGCACAGCTGCATCCAGACGTCAGGCCTCCTCCTGCCCCGGACGACACACCCGGAGAAGACGCCGTCTGTTTGCAGTGAGTCCGGGCGAAGCTTGACCCAGAAGACGGACTCGGGAAGGAAGCCACACGTGTGCACGGAGTGCGGGCGAGGATTTAGCCGCCACTCGAGCGTCATCATGCACCAGAGGACACACTCGGGTGAGACGCCGTATGTTTGCCAAGAGTGCGGCCGTGGGTTTTACTGGAAGTCAGGCCTCTTTCGCCACCAGAGGACCCACTCTGGGGAAAAGCCTTACGTGTGCCAGGAGTGTGCGCAAGGCTTCTTCCAGAAATCACACCTCCTTCAGCACCAGAGGACACACTCAGGGGAGAAGCCCTACATGTGCAAGACTTGCGGGCGAGGCTTTAGCCGGAAGTCACATCTCATCATCCACCAGAGGACACACTCGGGGGAGAAGCCGTACGTTTGCAGTGAGTGCGGCCGAGCCTTTTCCTGGAAGTCCTGCCTCCTGAGCCACCAGCGGACCCACTTCGTAGAGAACACTCCTGAGTTCGTGGAGTTTGGCCAAGGCTTCGGCTGCAAGCCGGACGGCATCACCCTGCAGCGGACACGCTCCTGCGAGAAGCCTTACATGTGTGAGGAGTGTGGGCGAGGCTTCTTCCAGAAGTCACACCTCCTTCAGCACCAGAGGATCCACTCAGGGGAGAAGCCATTCGTGTGCAAGATGTGTGGGCGAGGCTTTAGGCAGAAGTCACACCTCGTGCGACACCAGGGAATTCACTCAGGGGAGAAGCCCTACGTTTGCCATGAGTGTGGGCAAGCCTTTTCCTGGAGGTCAGGCCTCCTTCGCCACGAGAGGACACACTCAGTAGAGAACATACATGTGTGCAAGGAGTGTGAGCAAGGCTTTAGCTGCAAGTCGGATTACATCAAACACCAGAGGATACACTCAGGGGAGAAGCCGTTTGTGTGCCAGGAGTGCGGGCGAGGCTTCAGACTCAAGTCCTATCTGATCACCCACCAGAGGACACACTCCGGGGAGAGACCTTACGTGTGCCCGGAGTGCGGGCGAGGCTTTCGGCAGAAGTCCACCCTTGTCATGCACCAGAGGACCCACTCGGGGGAGAAGCCCTACATCTGCGGCGAGTGCGGGCGCGGCTTCATCCAGAACTCGGTCCTCCTGAAGCACCAGAAGACCCACTCCGAGGAGAAGCCTTACGTCTGCGGCGAGTGTGGCCGGGGCTATTTCTGGAAGTCAGACCTGCTTCGCCACCAGAGGACCCACTCGGGGGAGAAGCCCGGCCCGGGCAAGGAGTGTGTGCAAGGTTTGAACCAGACGTCAGCCATCCTCCTCCATCTGGAGACGCACGTAGCGGAGAAACAAACCACGTTGGTGACGAGTGTGTAGACAATTGAAGGCCCCGTGGACCTGGTGCTGAGGACATATTATCAAGTAGGACAGTCTAAAGAAGCCAGTGCTCAGCAAGAGCAAGGCCTGCCCGGGGCTGGCTTGTCTCCTTGTCGGACTTAGAGATAAACTCTTCAGCCACACAGACGTTTTTGTCAGCTAAAATGTACCGCTGTCATTCAGCTAAGAAAACAAACGACCAAAACAACTCGCTTTGTTCCAGTCTTTGTTCGAAACAGCCATGCCTCTGGAAACGGAATGCTTAGACATGACTGTGAGCTTTTACTCGTACAAAACGTATTTATTTATTTATTTATTTATGTTTAAGTCATTTTGTTGGGGGCTCATACAACTCATCACAATCTATACATACATCAAGTGTATAAAGCACCTTGGTACATTTGTTACCCTCATCATTCTCAAAACACTTCATCTCCATATAAGCCCCTGGCATCAGCTCCTCATTTTTCCCCGCTCCCTCTGAACCCTTGATAATTTATAAATTATTATTATAGCATATCTTACACTGTCCGACGTCTCC